CGCAGTGCGAAGAATGAAACAATAAGAAAAGGGCGGGGAACTCCAAATTAAAATATAAATAAACATCACGTACAAGCAGCTTACCGTGTCTCGTTTGTGTGCGGTGTGTCGTAGTTGGCTGCCTGTTTTCTGAGTCAAAGTCACACGGTGCTTGATATCTGGCTGGCTAACTTCTTCGGTGCGTGCTACTTTCCGCGTTGCCTGACAGCACAAGTCCCTCGGCGATACCGACTACATAAGAATAAAATTAAGAATATATATACGCATGTGTATATAAATATGGATATATATTTTTGAGAGAATAAGAAATTTGGGTAGAATCAAAAAAGAGTAAAAACATAATATAATAAGAAATCACATAAAGTACGTTGCCGTGGCTTCTGTGTGTGCGCGCGAGTGCGGTGCATGCTACTTGGTCGGTCGAGTTCCGAGTCAATGTCCGGCGGTGCGTCGTAGTCAGCAGGTCCCGTTCTGAGGCAAAGTCAGACGGCGCGCGGTAGTTTTCTGTTTTGCTTGGCACCACAAACCCCTCGGCGATACCGACTTCGTAAGAATAAAAAATAACAATATATATGCATACATACATTTTTATGTACGTATTTATATATATTTATTAATAAGTGAAAGTGCGCTGTCACGGGGAGGCTGCCCGTGACTCTGGCGGCGGTTTCCTAGAGGACAACTAACTGCGTCTCTATCGCCAATCGATTCACGAATATGACAATTACAATGAAGTGCCCTCTTTCAGTCAATTTTTGTATGCAACGTTAACTAATTCTAGTTACTCAGCTGGAAAGAGAAATTCTGTAATACAGAATGTGATGGAATGATGACTGTAGGCGCTAAGGAGCTAGTTGCTATGAGAAACTGGCAGGGGGCTGGGGCCACCAACCTTGTCGCAAATACTTTGAGTGGACGTGGGGATTCCCCACTAAGTAAAGGAGAGCCACCAAAATGTCTTACCTTGAGGAAACATCTCTCCATGACACCAGCAGCAGCAATCTCAATGTAACAAGTAGAAACAGAACAAAATAAAGAGAGGAATTCTACAAAAACATTACTTTTGTAATTGACATTACGTCATTAAACAGTTTCACGAGACGCGGTTTTAGTGCACGCTGATTACTGAATTGACAGCAATTTCTGATTGAGGTCACAATGTTTATTAAGATCCCGGGACCCCTTCAACATGATCAATAAAACGCGCAACAAACAAAACTACGTTCTACCTCCAAGATTCAAACGCAAAGGAATCTTCACTCGCAGACGGCTCGAACACAAACATCCGGCAAAAGAGTTACACCACTTAAAGTCCTCTCCCTTCCATTTCAGCGCGGATTCTTACAGTAGAATTAAGTTCTACAATAAAAGGAGGGCAGAAATGGGTTTCGTATTGTATGCATTTCCTTCCTGATTTCTGCCCTCTAAAAAATAACTGAGGGTTTTCGTGGGTGGGATATGGGAGCCTAAGATGAGAGGAAGGAGGGGTTATGCAAAAACGTATTTATAAGGGAGCAGCCAAGGTGGCACATCCTCTTCTACATTTCGCTGCACCAACGCCACACCCACAAGGAAGAACACCACACCAGGACTTCACTCTAAATTCCTACTCTGTCCCGACTAATTTTCATAAGACTCATTACTATACCAGCCTGCCTGCCTTCTCTTCTTGTCTGCACGTCATTTTCAAAGGAACCCCCGTACCCATTTTGTCAGGACGAGTAGGATTCTCCACGGGTATTAGCTCATCAGCCGAAGGGAAATCACCGGTTTGAACCTCAGCCAATTTAATGTCAACCGGAAATCCACGTCCACATGAATCGCCGAAATATCCTGCTCCTACTGCGATCTCAAAAGGGCCACGAAGCGGACCTGCGATACTTCTCGCACAGCTTCACAAGGTCGTAGACCCAACCAACCGTCGGGGCCATGAGAGAATAAAAAAGGGGGAAAAAGAAAGGAAGACCAAGTAAAAACAGAAAAAATAAAATACACAATTAGACCAAATCACCTCCTTCAGAATACAAAATAATCCTCCCACACCGCTATACCGTACCCCGTATAGACCAAACCCCCGGGGACCCACCTAACAAGCTCGGTCAACTATAAACAAGAGCAGGCAAGGTCGGCAGGCCACTGGACGACCTGTCAGTGCCACAGCGTGACCCACTTCACTCTTGTTTCTACTATTAAGCCACGCTCTGCTACCAACTTGCGCCCCACTGGTGACGTAAAAGATAAAAAACTCCGAAGGCCGGGAGGAGGTACGGTCACAGAATTATTGTTGCGGGTGAACGCCAAAATACAAATAAATGCTCACCAAAAATTACTAAAAAGTATATAAAGAAAAATAGATATGTTTTTAAAAAAAGGAACATGCAAACTCCAATCAATCAACCCCACCTCCAAGACTCAGCCTGCGGTCGGGGTTACGACAAGTAAAAGAAAAACAGAACTATATGACTTCGACCACTCGGTCCTAGAATCCTCCTCTGCCCGGGACTGTCCGCCCTGCTGGCCTTGAAGCCACCTGCGCCAAAGAACGTCGAGAGAGGGAGATAGGCCACTTCGAGCCATGAGGTATGCCTCACACTCCTCTAAGAACACACAGTTAACAATTCTACCTTAGTCATTGAGCACGCACCTTCCATTTTCACAAGACAGATTTTGTCATTCTCACTACAAACCCATTCACAAGTTATCACTTTTAATATACGTCACGACAGTGAAACAAAATGTCACCTGACAAAAAGTAACCTCCCTACCTCACAGATTCATACTGGAACCTTTCTTTTCTCTTCCCCGACACAAATGCAAAAACAAACAGCATTCTGATGGCGCAGCTGATTGAACATGTACTTTTGTTCTGGGGGACACACCACACAGGCAGCATTGCTAAACTAGCATTACTTCACGTATTTAAATTCCTCAAGTAACTGCACAACGCACAAAACCCGCAAATAATACACTTCTTAGTATATAAATGTCACTTACCAATGTCGTAAACGCCTCATGACGTTCATTTATTTGATTCGAGAATCATCGACACATAACCTCAACCGACTAACGAGAACACCCCATAATTTCCAGTCTCTTATTCCGTAACCTAATAACAGCCCACAAAGATCACTGTTCGCACACAGAAACTTACAGCAATGATTCTTGCATTATGGCATTTTAAGAGACTGAATATTTGCCATTATGAACTGAAATAAATGTAGCACGCAAACATCTCCCAAGGCGAAACACTAACAACTCGCTACACACAACCTACATACTCCAGTCATACCACACCTCCAAAGACTAAATTCACGCAACAAATCTTACCAACTGCTATCTTCCTTTTTCTCTCTCTGTCTGCGAACTTGGCCACAACGAAATCTAGTAGCGAACGAATAAACTACGTACTGCATCGACATAAGTGATCGAACCTGAATCCGAATCTACCACACGCCTCGTAGCCGAAGATGTAACGTACGAGACTGTTGGGGATGACGTCGGCAGTTCGAGACCCAGCGGATTTTTACAGTAGTATAAGTTCTAGAAATAAGAGGGCAGAAACGGGTTTGGTTTTGTATGCTTTATCTTCCCGATTTCTGCCCTCTAAAAAATTAGATAGGGTTTCGTGGGTGGGGTATGGGAGCCTAAGATGAGAGAAGGAGGGGGTTATGCAAAAATATATTTATGAGGGAGCAGCCAAGGTGGTCCAGTCTTCAAAGTGTGCATTTAAGAGTAGCGAGTGCCTAGCCCACTGACAACACCAGACATCATATCATTTCAATTCCAAATTTCAAGGCGACCTACCATCTCAGAATTTCACTGCAACTGAGAAAATCCACATAAATCCAGGGTACTTACCACTCACCTACGCTGCTCTCTGTAATGTTATTCTTTAAACACATTACAGCACTGATGCCTTCATTCTTCTTACACATTCTTAAAATTCAGTACATAAACAAAATGGTCAATACCTACTGCTTGTCTCTCACACACACACATCTCTACATTCTTCCTATAAACAATCTGACAGGCAAAATATTTTTTCGAAAAATCTGAAAAAAAACTAGGACTTTGCTGCCCGGTTGCCCTACATTCGTAGCCAGCCCTGCCTGTAATCCCTGGTCTCTCCTGCCTTGCCCTCACAGCATGGGCCATCCTACCACGTCTTGAACGGCTTGACGTGCTTTTCCAGGTCTGCCCTAACTTGTAGTGCCCGACACGCTCTGTTCTCTGTGTGCAACCACTGCCGGTTTATGTGATCATGATTTGGAACAAGTTTTCAATTTTTTTTTCAAAATTAAAAGATGCAAGAATTTCGAAAAGTAATAAAAAGTCTAAAAATCTTGTAAAAATTTTAAAATTTTTCAAATGGGTTCAGTTTTCAATGGGCTGGTCATCGAGTACGCTGTGTACAGGCAGGGGTTACCAAGAGATGGTCTGGACATGGCAGGTATAAATGTATGAATACATGCTGTACTAGGCATGGTTTAGGTCGAGTATGAACGGGCCTACGCCATACGCTGGCTGGGTAATGGAAGCCCTAGACATTGGCTGGGCTTGTCGTGGGGCTGGGCTTTGTGCACAGTCCAGCTAATGCTCAGCCCGTGACAAGCCAAATCTGACAATCAATGTGCAACCCAGCCATGCAATGCTGAATTTGTCTAGTGGATTTTGTTAAGAAGATAAACTTTATAACAAATGTTAATGTTGCTAAAGCCCCCACAAAAACTGACTACATGCTCAGAAACCATCGAAAATGTGTAGTTTTTATAATTTAATAAAAGGAGAAGAGTGCTGTCGAGAGATACAGAGCACAACTTACCAAAACCTGTCAGCCCAGAAATCTGACACAACAGATGACTCAGAATATTATTTAAGGTATTTGAGCACTTCCAGTTTTGTTACAATGAACGTATCTTATATCCTTAAGAATGTACATAAATCTTTCTTACTGAAACACGCAAAACAACATACATGACAAGATACTGTAGTAATATTCTCATACTCCCCAATTATGTGGGTTTAGAAATCACATTCCACTAAGCTTCCAGTTTACATTCGCATTCCTTACAATAGGAAAGCACAAAGCATACATAAGAAACCTTGTATTATATTGCACTGGAATTAGAATACCACTGTCTCAAATGGCGAAGTGTATAAAAACCATGAAAACGACAAAAAATGTCCATTACATTAAATCTTATAACTTTTTTTAAAAAAAGATTAATATTTAAGAATTAATTCTTCAACATCAATTACTTCCAGCCTTACCCACTGACTAAGCCCAAAATTATCATTCTTCGTTCACATTATAGCACAGGGAACACATAACAGATATTCCTCGCATCTCGTTCTCAGCTGTCGCAACAGAATTGACATTCCGTGCGTTACTGCGAAATTGCCAACTGCAACACGCGAGTCATATTTCTCATACTAAAACATCCCTCATGAAACTAAAATCATCAAATGCAACTTATATAAATAAATAATCAAACACAGAGAATACGCCTACTTCGTTTACCTTGTGAGAAAATGCATCTAGAAACGTAATTGGTTTGTTTTCAGTAATTCTGCATTCATTCACGCAGCTTATGAAAAACAACTGGGACGCCCCCTCATACTCGCCTTAATGCTCGTATTCCAAAAAAACATACGTCTGTCTCAACGGTCGTAGTAACATAATTCACAAAACAATGCAATACCAGGTATGCGACTTATAAAAAATAAATGTTTATACGGCACAGCATCATTTTCAGTTGTCACCTTAATGATCAACTGTGCTCTGAAAACTGTCAGATCATGTTACTGTTCAAAAGCGAAATGACACTTGTCCACGACCGGATCATTAGAAACAGCAGAAAATTCTGCGCGGAACGACGAGTCACACACGCGCTCGGAACAGACGCTCGACCGGCCGCACTTTAATTTTGCTACTAAATTTGAATCACTGCAGAATCCTCATCTGATATGCCCCATTCATAAAACTCTTAAGACTACCAGATCCGCGGATCCATTTGACGCATTGTTTGCAAATGCAAAACTTGCAAGTTCCAGTTTCAGGTTATGAACCATGTTCAAACTCCTGATATCCTTCAGCACCAGTGAAAATTACATCCACCCAGATTCTCATGGCTTCCGGACTGGGCGCCATCAGGTGATACATCCTCTCATTCGTCTTCACCACGAACGTTAGCTGAGGATTTGGAGATTTTACAGAGTTCAGATGGTCCACATAAACTTCTTCAATGGACTGCAAAGAAAAGCACGAATTAACTCCCTGGTAGCAGGACCCTCGGGTCCGACGCCGAAGCCCACCACCAGCCAAGATCCTGAGCCAACTCCATCCATTTACCATCCTCACAGCCCGCCTCCCTAAGATCCATACTGATATTATCTTCCCATCTCCTTCTTGGTCTGCCCAGAGGTCGTTTTCCAGGATACTCCACCAAAATTCTGTTTGCACTTTTGCCTCCCCGAGCATGCCACATGTCCAGCCCATCGGATCCTCCTGGAGTTTACTATACTTACTGTGCTAGGTGACCTGCGCTCCTCATTTTGCAATATTCTAAATTCCCCACTTATTTCATCCTTCCTAGGTCCATCGCATCTTGTCTTCAAACACTTGTAATTTATGTTCTTCCTTCCAGGTAAGAGACATCGTTTCACAGCCATAAAAAACAACTGGCAAGATAATTCTTTTATATATCCTGGAGTTTCCAAATTGCATAAAAACAAGTGTTCCTGATTAAAATATATAATATAATTCAGGTCTATACACAAACTTTATTTACAGATGTTAAAATTTAAAATTTGCGCTATTCATCGTTACTACGATGTTACAATACTGCGCCTTCATTTACTACATGTTTCGATGCGTAGCATCATCTTCAGGTTTTTCCTTTAAAACTACTTTATATTACAATGCAAGTTTTTCATTTATTCATCTGTTTTGTAAATTATTACAGTATGTGTTCTGTTGATCTTCTTATTTTATGTATCTTATATTTGTTTTCCATTATTCTGTGAATAAATTAATTAACATATGAGTTATTTATTTATATGTAAATAAGTTTGGAATATTGTTGTATATTTGTAAAAGTAAATTTTAACATCTGTAAATAAAGTTTGTGTATAGACCTGAATTATATTATATATTTTAATTATAAAACACAAACATGACGCATTTAAACTTTAAAAGTGTTCCAGAGTATATTCTACTCTTAATTTCATCATGGACCTCATTTCTATTTATTATCGTCACTCTCAGATACTTAAATTTTGAAACATTTTTAAATGTGTCGATTATAACTTTGTTCTGCCATTTTTGAAGACGCTGATCTCGTATTACGCCCATGTATTTAGTTTTGTCTACATTTACTTCTAGGCTGTATGACAGTTTCCGGTACCCACTGCAACCCCCGGGAAATTGACATCAGCTCAGGCGCAGACCAATCAATTCGAGCCCTTCCGGATTCCTGATGACATGCGAGTGAAATTAAAAAGCACTGGGGATAAAGCATCCCTATCTTAGGCCACTGTGTGATCTGACAGAAGGTTACCCATACGAACTCCACACACATCTTAATTAATCTGATACGTAATCTTTCCGTGTATGATGTCGCGTGAGTCTGGAGCAGATCTCCATCTCATCCTTGATCAACTGTGTCCTAGGTTTGTGTCCCATTTTAAACTCACTGATGCCTCTACACAACTCTACGTCATTCTCATTTTTGCCATTAGTATCCGACTCCCCTATCCGAGCTTTTAGATGCTCCCTCAAAGTTCACCTTACACTCACACATCGTTCCCTGTTCATTAGAGTTCAAAGAAAAGCACGAAACCTACAAAAATGTAAAAATTAAATAAACCACCTGCAGCAATTTCTCATATCCTTGCTTCATTAACACAGAACTTAATAACTCAAGAAACAGTTCCTTATTTAACAACCCTTAACAAATGTGGCAAAGAACTTGCATTTAACTTGTTTTAGGAAAGAAAATAAGTGCCCTCGTGATGCAGGTGTTCATCAAAATTTATTCTAAGCTGAAAGTAGATGTTCTTTGATAATTATATTTTCATATTTTACCCTGCATGCCTTTCAGTCAATTTACCTGGAAGTACGCTCCGCCACGGGGTTTCTTCTCGCCTCGGTCACTATAATACGTGAATGTTCTTCGTACTCGGTCAAACACAAACCACCGTCTGTTCCAGTGATGAAACTTGGAACCCATCTTGTGCAGGTATCCTCGACATGAGGTGGAGTCTAAACTCGCGTGCGGACACAGCTCTATCTGGTGGCCGGCAGACTCTATGTGCTGCCGAAGATTCAGACTCTCGCTTCTGATTGGAAGGTATCGCGTCAGTGGTCGCTGGTGTGCCTCCTGTTTGATAACAAATAACACCAATTTGAAAATGGCAGAAATGCTAACCACTCAGCCGCAGCATCCGGTCCAACTACTGATTATCTGTACTTGTTAAACTGTAAGGAGAAGATAAGCAGACAGCAGCTGTGGGCTCTTTTAGGTCAATGTTACATGCGAATACTGGGTGGGTGGGTGGGGTGGGGGTTAAAAAATACGAAGACCACATGCTACGTAACAGTTCCCTGGAAAATGTGGTAATTTCATGTCCGCGTAAGAGAAGTTTTATCTTTAACACTAATCTTCTAGGACTGAGCATCTTAATATCTGGTGAAGAGCGGAGATTATGAAATGAGCTGGTCCATAACCAAGCCACAGAATCACACGTTACTTGACGCATCAACAGCCTTGTCCCACTGAACAAACAGCATAACACAACAGCCACTGGCTTCGTGCGGGAACGATTCTTGATACTGAAGCTGATAGTTACAACCAGTGCCAAAATTACACAGAGTCCATGAGGGCAGGTGTACTTAGGAAAGTGGCGACACCTCACGCAAAGTAAAGATTACAATGGACTGACACACAATAAAATTAAATTTAAAAAAACCTGTACATAGAAAACGTCAACAAATTAGGTAGATTAATTCTGAACATAAACCGCGCACACACCGACACACCTCTTCATCATATACAGTTTTACATTTTTTGGCGTGAAAAGATGCACATATTTCGTATGAACTACCCATAAATATATTTATGAACTGCGTTAATATGTAATCTGGTCCTCGCCTGAGGCCGTGGAGAGGATTTGTCCCTCTTCTGCACAGGTACAGACAGCTTCTCCTCATATGCCGATCCATCAGACAAAGGCCTCGTCTCCTCCGTGTCTCGTTCCAATTCCAACTCCTTCTCTCGCATCTGCAAAGAAATTTCCCACTTTTATTGCACCTGCCACTTGAATATCTTGCTCACCCAGCAAATTTAAAACAACGAATTCAGTTAACTGATTCTCAGATCCAAATATTTCCGACTTCAAAGCACGATGCCCAGTGCTTCAAAAAGGAATGACATTTCTGACAACTTTACATAACAAATGAATTATGGCACGTAATATCCTGTACAACTGTTAAAAGTATGAAATGTATCAAAATAACAAGACTGGAAAGTCGTCCTATTTGGAGTACACCAACATTCCAAAGGCATTCTTCATGCTACATCTTGCCTTAATGTGATCCCAGTTCATTTGCAGCTTCCTTGGTCATTTTTGCAACGATGAGAGAACAAGTCAATGTTCACAACAATTCCTTCAATTACCCTGGATCGTTTTTGCTTATGGTCCCATTGTTGCGCAACAATTGGTCCCAACAATGGAAGTTGTCCTTTGCACTAAGCAGCACGTATACGTGCATCACGTTTGGGTTGGTGGAGGTACAGCTCCACGATTTATTGACGTCGACACTAATATGAAGCAAGTAATGACTCCGTCAGCTACCACAGACCTGATTCCTGAGGTACAGCACATGAGGATCGCCGAACATAGCGACTCCTTGCACCACAGTGGGTTCATGGCGATGTCCTGGGAAGCCCAAAGCTGAAGTTCATCTCTCGGAAACTTTAAGAGCAGACGTCGAGAAACAAACCAATTACAATACCAGGGCTTCCTGGCATCACATCTTTTCTACCACACCACGGCCTTCAATATGAAGCAGTACATTGCACGAGACCGTAAACAGTCATTCATCAGTAATAAGACAGTTCGCGAATTTCCCCAGCCTCTTACTTCATACGCCAACAATGCATAAATGTGCAAACGACGAAAAAGCCTAATAATTGGGCTTACCAGTACAATTACATAAAAATTCTGCAACTTATCCTACATTTCTCAGTGAAGTACGTTCTTTGAACAGCAAGGTGGCAATCTATAATTATCACAAGCAGAGAAATGCAGTTAAATAAAATAACACCATATTCATCTACATCGTCTAACAGGAACGAAGGAAAAGCATTTCAATCGAAATAAATGTTTCGTGCTACATTAATTTTTAAAACAAATGTTCAGGGCGTCCTTTGGACGACACGCGTCCTAGCCAACAGCGCCACTCCAATATCCCCACAACTGTTATCGATTTTCAGCTAACGCTTGAAACCCCAACGATAATGGGATGTTATTCCTGCACGTCAACTTTGTAAACACAAGCCACAATAAACACAAGTGCTATGTTAGCGTTCTGGCAGCAGAACAGCTTCAGACGTATACACAGAGAAACAACTGACGAACAACGCGCCCGAACCAAACATCAGCTGCCCCACCTCGCCTCCGCCATTATCGGTCTCCCTTCCCCTCAAACTGTTCCAATCCACGAACTGCCAACCGCAGCCAAGAATAGGCTCTGCTTAATAAACCACCATCGACGAACATTTATAATAATGTTTCGCGTAATACTTGCAACATTCTGTCGAAAGTTAGGTTAGGGGACAATGAAATGTTATTCATAAGTAGGGTTCGATTGGGAAGTACGATGTAAACTGGCTCCACTTTGATCACGCGGCGTTGCCTTCGACAGCGGGCATGTACTTGTAACCTTGTACTGGCAGATAAAATGTAATCCCTCCAAATAAAACTACCTCAATTATATGTTAACACACGCGCGCACTCGCATCCATTTCAACAATTTATCTCAGTTTTGCCAACATTAACCAACAATCGATCGATACATATTAAGAACGATACATCGTTTTGCCAAAATTTAAATTTGTCCGACACGTCTAAAGCAAACCATGGTTCGCGATTGCTTTATGCAGCCTGCAATATTCTGCTTAATAAAGCACCGGTCGTGGAGATATTAAGAACCAGTAACACAACTCCGTGCATTCAGTAGATTGGGGAGGGGGATTCAGCTTCGCGCCTAGGCAGCGTTTACCCCACTACTACTGAACGGGAAGCTAGGGTGGGTCCCAAAGTCGGTCACCTACCCTGGTCATCCATCGTGCATCCCAGTGACTCCACCGAGAACCCCCTGATCCTATTAAGAGTCAATCTTATCTGCCGTTAATAAAAGTCATGTTACGACGACAAACAAACGCGTATCTTCCTGCGCTGAACACTGTGATAAACCGATAATCATTATCTCTTAAAAATATCAAACATAAAGGGCACCGCTTACGAAATCGGGTGACCAGATACATTAATGTTGCTTTAAATAGGCAATAACCCAGCACACAATCTACATCGACAGAGACAAATTGCAAGCACATAGAAAATCGTGTATGAAACTATATTTTGTTGTTGATCTTATCGGTCGAGTACGTTCAGTCTTACAACGCGACGTTTCGGTGACTAGTTCTGTCTGCGTCCTAGAGCGTGGATAAGCATGGCACAGTGTTCCGTGAAACAGCAAAATGTTCTGGTAAAAATACTGGGGGGGGGGGGGGGGCCA